CCAGGCAATGGTTCCATGATCGTCTTTCCATACAGCTGCTTAGTCTTCATTTTGCAGGTCAATATAGCAAAAATAGAAAGGTGCAGCCTAAATATAACTGTTTTTAGCAGAATCAATCATCTGTACAATACCAGATTTGAGATGTGCATAGACCTCTGTTCAATTTTTCTGCAAATTCTGACAATTGTGAAACGAACTTACATCATGCTTCCATTTCAATTCTGTAAAAGGCATGACCAAGCAGAGCACAAGATGCTTATAGCAACTACTTCAGTGTAATTAGGCAATATGCCACTGATATTGGTACATATTTGAATTGCCTTTTCAATTTTTAACAAAACTCATCATATAAATAATGAATTGGTATTCAACAGTGTGGAAATTAATACAGGCATAAAGATCTCATAAATTACACATGAGCCAGTATTATTAGCTATTCCCAGTGATTCAGGCATGAATTTCCCCACAAGAAATGGAATTTTCAGCTTATCTCATTGAAAGGGTAGCTGGGCTGTTCTTAAAATAAGAAATTGGTGGTTTGTTGAAGAATAAATTATTGAAGAGGCTGCAAACTTGTGAAGATAAAAAGCATGTCTGAAAATATAAAACTGCAGAAGTTTGACAGGATGTAGAGCTGGACAAAGAAGTGGCAGATGGAATTCAACCCAGGAAAGTATGAAGTGATTCATTTTGGAAGGTTAAATTTGAATGCAGAATACAGGGTTAATGGTAGGATTCTTAGCAGTGTGGAGGAACAGAGGGATCTTGAGGTCCACGTCCATAGATCCCTCAAAGTTGCTACCCAAATTGATAGGGTTGTAAAGCAGGCATACGGTGTGTTGGCTTTCATTGGCGGCGGAATTGAGTTTAAGAGCCGTGAGGTTATGCTGCAGCTCTATAAAACCCTGGCTAGACCACACTTGGAATATTGTGTTCAGTTCTGGTCGCCTCATTATAGGAAGGATGTGGAAGCTTTAGAGAGGGTGCAGAGGAGATTTACCAGGATGCTGCCTGGACTGGAGGGCAGGTCTTATGAGGAAAGGTTGAGGGAACTAAGGCTTTTTTCATTGGAGTAAAGAAGGATGAGAGGTGACTTGATAGAGGTGTACAAGATAATGAGAGGCATAGATAGAGTGGATAGCCAGAGACTTTTTCCCAGGGCTGAAATGACTATTACGAGAAGGCATAATTTTAAGATCATTGGTAGATATGGGGAGATGTCAGAGGTAGGTTCTTTACACAGAGTGGTGGGCGTGTGGAATGCCCTGCTGGCAGTGGTAGTATAGTCAGATACTTTAGAGACTTTTAAGCGACTCTTGGATAGGCACATGGCTGATAGTATACTGTACGGTATGCAGGGTAATTTGATCTTAGTAGGATAATAGGTCAGCACAACATCATGGACTGAAAGGCCTGTACTGTGCTGTTCTACGTACTGAAAATTTCCTTAAAAAAAGTGTACACCTGAAACAATAACTATTTTTCCTTCCAGATATGGTCCAATCTGCTTACTTCCAATGTGGTCTAATTCTACTTCATTTCAAATTGACTTTAAAAAACATGCAGCACCTAATTTTCAGTTTCCAAGAAGCTTGCTAATCCTTCAATCCGTTAGGAAAAGAATCTTTATGAGCTGCAATTGTGCCTTTTGTTTTTTAATAAAGGCATTAAAAAATTCTTGTGATGCAGTCGTAGTTTCCCAGCTTTGGGCTGGAAAGACCAATTCACATCCCAGCTGTTCAGAGATGGATCATGTCTGAACAGATTGATTAAAACATTATACAATGAATGGAACTCAGCACCCAAGCCTGAAACTGGCATGAGGCCTCTTCTTTGCATGTGGAAAGACTCTAGCTTGCTAGGTGCTGGGAGAACTAACTGCATTCAAGATGGAAACACAAAGGAGGTTACAATAATATTTTGTAAAACACTGGATCAGCCAGACTAAAATGCCACGTTTCCCATTATAATGTGAACATGAAGAAATGGCAGAAGTAGCACTCTCTTCCACTTGTGCTGAATGTAACACATTAGGCATGATTAAGAAAATGGACCAAATCAGTCAGGCATAATTCCAAGAAAATATTCTGTCCCCGTGGACACAACGTCTGTTCTGTTTTGAAGTTCAGCCTGTCTGGCAATCTGCACTGCTTATGGCTGTAACCCCACTACAACATGATCATGTTTCCACATTGGCAATTATTCACGAGGCAGGATAAATTATTTATAAAGGAGTCAATGGCCTCCCCTGACTTTTTTTATTTGTTCATGGTGCATGGGCATTGTAGCCTAGACCAGCATTTATTGACCATCTGCAATTGTCCTATAAAGGGGTGATGGTGAACTGCCAGTTAAAAGATGTGCAGGTTAGATGGATTGGCTATGTGAAATCACACCATAGTATCCAGCAATGTGCAGGGTAGGTGGATTAGTGATTGTTAATGCAGGGTTATGGAGATAGAGGAGGCATGGATCTGGTTCGGATGCTCTTTGGAGAATTGGTGCAAAGCTGATTTGTTCAATGGCCTCTATCTGCACTGTAGGGCTTCTATGATTCTTGAACACCTACTATATTGCTAGGAAGGAAAGTCCAGGATTTTGACTTGAGTCACAGTAAGGAACAATATAGCTCAAAGCGAGGATGGTGCGTTTGACAGGGCAATTTACAAGTGGTGCTTTCCATGCACCTGCTACTTGTCCTTCAAGATAGTACAGGCCATGGGTTTGGAAGGTGCTGATGCAGCACTGGGGAGATAATGCAGTGTGCCTTCTAGGCGGTACACACTGCCGCTATTGGGCTTTGATGAAGGAAATGGCCGCTGAACACAGTGGATGGTGGGCTGAACAAGCAGACAACTTTACCCTGGATGGTATCAAGCTTCTTGAATGTTGTTAAGCTGCATCCACCTAGGCAAGAGTCCTCCATCACACTCCTGATTTGTGCCTTGAAGACGATGGGACAACTGACCCACTCTTGCAGTAACAGTACATAGACAACAGTTCTTCAGTTTCTGATCAATCATAAGCCCCTGAATGTTAATAATGGGGACTTAGCAATGGCAATTCCATGAATTATCCAAGGAAGATGACTATTGCTTGACATTGTAAGATCTGAATAAAACCTGTCACTTAACAGCTTAGCATGGCAATTGTCCAGGTCCTGCAGCACATGGACATTTACAACTGATACTGAAGCAGTGGTTCTAAACACAACTGATGTAAATTTAGTGCTGTCTGGGAAAACACTAAAGAGCCTATGGATTTTCCACCTGCAGAATGCTAGGGAAACTTCACTACACATACGGACAAGAGCAAGAGATAGAGGGGACTGCCTAACTTGCCCCCACTTAGTAGGTTCACTAGATTGATCCTGGATATGAAATTGAGGGGTTGAGCTTGTACTTATTGCTGTTTACAAGTTTAACAGACCTTATTGAAACAAAGGATACTTGGGGACCTTTTGAAGGTAGGTGCATAAATCATATCCACTTTTGGGAGAATCTAAAACCAGACGGCACAATCTCAAATGGGTTGTCCATGTAAAGTGGAGATAAGAAGAATTTTTCTTGAGTAATGTATCTGTGGAATCCCTTACTGGAGAGGACTGTCAACACTGGTTAAGAATTTCAGTCTGAGACACTTTTAATGAGCAAAGAAATCAATGTTTACAGGGAAAGGAGAGTTTAGGATTAAAAGATCTCAATGAATGATACAGCAAACTCAATGGATTAAATGGCCCAAGCTTGCTCCAATACATTATGGCCTTTGTAAATCAATGAGTGTAAGAGGGCAGCAGTTTGATAAAGAGCAAACCTGTGTGAAGAAAACAGGGGTGGGAAATAAAGAAAACTGCACCATCAGCGTTCAATCTATTTGAGAAAAAGAGTGGTCACGTTATTTTGAAAATGAATTTCCTAACAAACTTTCAAAGCAGTTGATAGGTGATATATTGCAGGTACATTATGTGGGAGCTGTGCATGGTGATCACTTGCATTAAGTGTTGGCTGCCTGAGGAATTCAGTTGAGCTGGAGTGGATACTTTGACCCATCAGGGAGGGGTATCTGGACACTAAAGGAAGCAGTCATATCCCTTAAATTACCTATATCAAATTTTAGTCTATTGTCAGGATGAGACGAGTTCAACTGAAACAGGGACCAAGATTTTAGACTTTACGGATGCTGAGGCTTTGACCTTGCTCAAGTACTGTTTGCTGAGGAAACTTTAACACACTAAGTGCAATCTGCAGTATTAAAATTGAAAATCATATCTGTCATGGAGTACTGTAGCTGGTTCTGCAACTGATGAGAGTCCACAGTGGAGGTGAGTACAGGATGCACAAGTTATACTGCAGCTATACAAAGCCCTTGTTAGACCCCACTTGGTACTCAGCGTATCTGTGCAGCACACTTTAGGAAGAAATATTGTCTTAGATGGCATACAATGCAGGCTTATAAGAATAAATGACACCAAGTCTTCAGGGGTTAAATTGGAGGTGTGATTATACAATTTAAACTGATTTAACTGAAAAGGATCATAGTCGTCAAGATATTAACAGGAAAAGTGTAAAACATATTTCCATTGGCTGCAGTTTCTCAAACCAGGGGCACAGTCTGAGAATTAGAGCTAGACCATTCAGGAAAGAGGAAGCACTTATAGACAGGGGTGGTCGAGGCTTGTAACTTCTAAAGATGGTGGTTGATATGAGATCATTTTGAAAAATTAACTTTTTGTTCAAAGATATTAAAGGACATGGCTGGTAGGTCAAATTAGGCTACAGATCAGCCACGATCTCAAAATGGTGGAACAGGCTCAAGGGGCTGAATGACCAACTCCTGTTTTATGTTGCTACCTTGTTGGGATGTGATAGTACATATTAATATTCATGCTTTGCTGGAATAATCTTCCAGATGCCTAATGCCAAAACCCTAAGTATCCTGGGTGACCTAAGAAAGATTGAGGCAATTGCTTATTATCTCAATAAGTGCAAATAAGAGCAAAGTTGAGTCAAAACAAATTTTATTTTAAAGAATGCATCAAATACATCAATGCTGCACCCAAGATGAATATTCCAGGTTCTCCTCCTCCAAACACGATCCTAGTAAGAGAATGAAAAATGTCAGGTCTGAGGATTTATTCATTTTAAACAGTCCACCACAGACATTTGCCTGCCACAGTAGATTCAACTTTGCAATGCAGATGGTCAAAAAGTGAATTAATTGAAAAATAAATCTCTCTCGCTTTAAAAAGTCAAATGATCTAGCAGATGTTAGAATGACCTGGTTCAACCTCAGCAACGAACATGGCAGATGAACACTAAAGGCATTTAGCCCTCCGACTGGAGGTTTTCAAAGTCTTATTGTGACTCAAGTATGCTGCTGAATGTTTAGTTGCAAAGCATATACCTGGACTATTTCAGAAACTAGTTTATTGCTGATATGGAGATAATATTAGGACACCTTAAAAAGGTGAGCAAACCAAAGCAAGCAGAACTTGTCATAACATTCATACTGTATGAAGTCAGCAGCTCAAGTTGTGACTCAACTCCACCCAAGACAAAAGACCCCAATTTAGTTTAGCTGCCTAGCGCATCTAAATATTGGTTATATTCAAACCCGCATGATGCACACACAGTACAGTGACAAATGCAAGATTGGAGGAAAACAAACTAAAAGCGCCTCTAGGAATAAATCAGAACACCTACCTTTGCAGAAATATCCCAGAATCCTTCCATGTCCTTCAACTTTTGCACAACTCTATGCACCCTCACTCTTTCATTTCTGGTGACTGACCAGATGTGAAAAACATTCTGGTTTTATCACATTTCACAGGAGCTGCAAGTGAGGGGAAAAAATAAAAGTCATTGTAGGCAGCATACCCTTATTCAAACCATATTTCCTAGCTGAACAGGCTCCATATTGTTTATTCACAAAGCTAGGAAATCAATTATAGTTTGATACTTAGATTAACAATCAACTCAGCTGACAGGGAATAGTAATAATGCCATGAGAAACCTTGCTCATGGCAAAAGTCCAACAATCTTAATTTGAAGATGATCAGATGCAAGGGGAAACATGAGGAACACCACAAAATTGAGTGTTTTTCTGAATCTCACCTCTGAAGGAAATCTAAACATTCTATGTAATGGAAGGCCTGAAACCTTTATGTCAGCCTGTCTGATACTTTGCTGCACACACCCCTTTAGGAGTGGTGGCAGTGCTAGTGGAATCACTAGTGTTAAGGCCACAAGTCATTTTCAAAAACATTTGGGGATCTGCAATTCTACAACAGGTGCTTGGAAATTTACTGTTTAAGATTCTCGAAGATTTGTAGCTCAGGGTGTGGAGGAGGTTGCTGGCTTGCTCACTGAGCTGGCTGGCTGTCGGTCGTACATGTTTTGTAACCATGCTAGCTAACATCAGTGCTGCCTCCGATGAAGCGATGTTGTTCTAGTCCGCTTGGTATTTATACGATGTGGTCTATTAAGTTGGGTTGTGTCATTTCTGGTTATGTTCTGCACACTTGTATGCAGTCCAATTCCACATATTTGTTGATTGCATTGCAGGTTGAAAACCAGGCCTCTAGGAATTCCTGTGCATGTCCATGGCTGGTTTGAACTAAGATAGTCAAACACATGCAGAACAAAACCAGAAATCAGACAACCGAACTTAACAGACTGGATCATATACATACCAAGCGGAGTAGAATAACATTGCTTCATCGGAGGCCGCACTGATGACGTTACCTAGACTGGTGATGAAACGTCTGCATGATAACCAGCCAGCTTGGCAAGCAAGCCAACAATCTCATGACAAGATGGTCTCCAAAGCACTACTTAAGTCAAGCAACATGATTTATCATGTTTCAGATGGACACTGCAGCATGAACTGATCAAATAGCTACTTACTTGCATCTCTACTGCATCAGAGTTTCAACATGCATCAAGCCCTTTCCATGCCTAAAGGAAATACCACAAGTTAATAAATACTTATCACTCCCATGCACAGCAATTCTGAACTCAGTTCTAAAATAACCCAAAAGGTCAGATTACTTCAGAATAGCCATGCAAATCTATCCCAGATGTAGACCTGGAATAGAAAGGCTGACTGAACCCCTAACAGCCTGCGTGGTGCTGTAACTATTAATATTTTATGGGGCCAGAATAGAAGAGCTGAAGTCAAAGTTAAGGGTACATACAATTCATCCAAACTGAAAACATTTCAGTGGTTAGCCAGAAAAGTACAGTACATTTTTACTGACTAGTCTGACAACCCTACAGAATAGATGCAAAATATGCATTTGTGCTTTAGGCCCAACTTTTCCTAAGCTAGTACACTAGTGAAAAATTCTCAGCATAAGAGGATTAAACTTGCTGTTAATGCTAAAGCTTTGGACAGGCCAATTAAGAGCTGACCAAGTTGGCACAAAAATGCCTAATCAGGCATGGTTGCCTAGACGGGAAACTACACCCACATCTTGGAACACAATATTCTAGCCTATTTTGCAACACTGAAAGAACATGTACCATATATCCCTATTATGTTCTGGCATCACTTTTCTGAGCAGACATTCTAGTCAAAAATTGAAGCCAATTGCACTGGGAAAGCTCAGGCACACTCAAGAATTTAGATGGAATACAGTGTAGACACTTTGCTACTAAGTTTTAATCCCACTTGCAAGTCCAGTGCAATAAGATGAAACATCACTTCCACTCGAGGGACAAGCCACTGATGACATTTACACAAGAAAAAGCATTTAATTGCTTGGTCTATAGATTTGCTAAAATTTGACCTAACAGACAAGTTACATTTCCCATAAATGGAATACAAATAGCAAATATTACAGGTTCAAGACCTGGAGCAAGACCAATCTTGCAGTTAGACCTGTGGAACAAGCTGCAATTTACACAGATTTTAAAGGAATGGTGCCAAAATCCTAGCATTGCAGTAAGACAAAGAATTCTAGTGGCACAGGACTGGAAAACAGATTAGTCCCAGACCATGTTTTTCATCTGTACCACCCCAGGACTAAACAAACTTCACAGCATTTCATTTCATCCAAAGCAACTGAACAACTAAGCAATCAATAGCAAGACCAATATTCTTGATTTTATTAGCCATCTCTAGGCAATTTCAGGGATAACTGGCACAAAATTTTAAATCAGCTCGTTCAGCCACATTATGACACCTCTGGAGCTTGCGGGACTTCAACTCGGACCTCAAATTTATATGACAATTGCCTTCACCACACTTTACACTTGATACTGATGGTGAACCATTGCGATGGTAATACAATACAGGTCAACTTTGTGCTCCGAATAGATTATCAAGCCTCCTTTGATTAAAAATCAAAAACAAACTAATTTAGTGAATGAAGCCCAAAGCAATACAATTAGGCTATGGCCTAATTTAATTGCACATATACAAAGTGAACCTTAATTATTCACGAAATGCCTGAATAGGCAAATGGACAGCACAGAGCCTAACGACTTGGTTTCTACTGAAATATCAAAGGATTCCATTGTATTTGTTCTGATCAGAATCCTAGATACACTTGAAACCTAAGCAGTGAAAATTCATCACATTTACAGTATTTCAATCTTCACTACATGTTTAAATCTGCCATACTGCTCTGTGGTAAACATCTTACACATAGGTACACATAGGTCTGGTTTCGGGGATTTCAGGTCAGATAACTCAATGGCTAAGGTTGCTGGCAGTTACAGTCAATGCAAGCTGGCTTGGTAAAACTAAAACTAAGTAATTTGTCCAGTCTCCAAGCTAAGCCAAAAATACAAGTGTAACACCAAATACAATAAGTCACTATATAATAGTTATGCATTTGATGGGTAGGTGCCTGATGGAGATTCAAAAGGAAGTGAAAGTTTTTCTAATCCCCAGCACAGTTCCCCAAACCCAAGTAGGCATACCAAGTTACCATCTCATTTATACAATGCAGGCAACTGCCCAAATAAATAGTCAATGCATTTTAGTTTTGCAAGTATTATCTATGGTGCTAAATGGCCTGTAGTACGTTTATTCGTTACATACAAGTAGATCACATTGCTGCTTTGTAGATGTTCTGGCAAAGCTTGAAAGTGCACAGTAAATAAAAAGACAAGTTTAAATACTAAACCACAACCTTCCTGTTCACGGTCTAAGTCACAGCTTTGTTCAGCTCAAAAAAAGGTACAAGGCAGAAAGCGCAACTACCCACTGTTGATAATTCAAGGTGCCAGTGAAATGTCAATGTTGTGAATGCAGTATTCAAAAAGTGCATACTAGCTGTACATCATTTGGGCCATTATACTCTGATACCAAATCAGTATTCACTGGTAACAGCCCAACCGTAAGTGGTACACTGTATTTCCACAGTCAGAAAGGTGATGCCCGAACCATTATACTCATCTTTAAGAAATTACGAAAGACATTTGTTAACAAGTTATTTGTACATACCTGTATGCAGTCTTTATTGTGTAACGCAGAACAAGCAGGAATACTATTCTCCAGGTCTTACTGCCCAATCCCATTTGCAGTACTACAGATCCTCAATGCAATGTATTGCAGACAAGCTGACTGTATTTATTCACTGTAGAGCGGCATTACTTGCAAGGATGCAGCACAATTGGCTGCCAGCAGCCGCTTGCTGGCTTGTAACTCAGATGCGTTGCCATGTAACCTGAGAATCTGAAACTGTTATAACTGCCACTGAAGAATACTGGGGAAGACAAGTTATTTCAAGTTGTGCCCAAAAACTTAGTGGGCATTGCAAATTCAGCACCTAAATGCCTAAACAGCAACAGCTAAATCTTTGTATTCAGATTAGCCAAAACCATAAATCAAATTCAAAGATGTGAAATATATATGTTTTTTTAAAAAGCGGGGCACTTAAGTTGACAGGTGATGTTCATGAAATTATACTGCAGGCATCTCATGCAGTATTTTGATTTAAGTTGAAATTCAATATTATGTAGAAAGGGCATTTCAAAAAAATAGCTCAAGTACTGCTTGCACAGCCTAAATTGTTAAAACACCCAAAACAAAGGACTAATTTAGTAGAAATTCAGGTCTCTAGCTGCAAGTACATCACAAAGCTAGTTTTTCAAATTTGAGGTGAACCCTTAGGCTTTCACCCACAGCTGAATAAGCCAAACCAACTTTGTTTATGATGGAATCCATGTTCAAATACAGCAACTCTGCCAAGGAACGGCAATGAAAATTATTGCAAGTTTGCAAAGGATATCCAACAGGAAATCAGAGCAGCTGCTCGTTCAAACCCCCACCAGCTCACATTGAGTAATTTTATAGTTGCACACTTATTTTGCCAGAAGTCAAATTTGATGGACCAATACCAGATTCTGTACTAAAGAAATATTTAGGCAAAAAGGGTTTATGGAATATCAGATTAAAATTAAGCCTTGCTCCAATCAAAGACAAACTGCACTCAAAGAAACTTAAAACCCACCATCCCAGAATTTAGAACTTCTGATCTTGGATTACAATAATTGCTCAGTATATTAATTCTCAAGATTGAAATTAAAGTGGAGAGCAGCATCTAAAGGCACGATTTGTTGCTACGTCCAAACCCCCATCCCCACACACAAATAAGTTTTAACACTTACCATTATCACAATCCTAAAGCAGCAATTTTGACACTGCATGCTACTGCTTGGTTCCAGTTACCCATTGAAGCTGTTCAGCTTCTCTAGGCAGAGGGTACAGAAGTCACGTTCTGGTAGTCCGGGTATCCTGATGCAAATTCATTCCTACTGAGTACATCTGCAGCTCATCTTGCTACTGGTTTCCAATTGTGACTTTCCAATCAGAATTCCCATTCACAAACGCAGAATGGCCAAATTTTCCAAAGCTCAAGGTTAAACTTCCATAAGTTATTGGTTGAGGAGCCCAAGTTGGGTCAGAAGGTTTAAACAAAAGCACTGTGGACCATTAACTGCAAGTCTTTTAAGTGATCATGTTTCATGACATATGAAGTTCATTCAAAAGTTAAAACTGTTTAGATGTCCTATCACATGCAAGATCCTGTCCCAGTTTTTCAGCACTACTGCCCGAAACTGAAAGACCTTATTACAGCCATGTTACTTAAAAGAACTCCCAACTCCAGCTAAGATTCCATAATTAGTGATGGGTTGATGCAATAGAATCATGCACTGAACAGTGGTATAAGATTTATCTTAGTATTGTACTCTTAGTATATAGCTTTTACACACCTTACATATTGTCTAGCCCAACCAAAAAAGACCACCACTTTCATCAGGATTGCTCAGTTTGCAGAGTTGCTATTTGTAACTGGGATATTGCCATTCCAGGTTTCTTGCTGTTAATCTGACGAGACTCAGCGTATTGGTTTACAGACCTAGCACTCAACGCTTAGTCATTTGGATGCGATAGTGTCTAACTTGACTGGTTTTTGGCTGCTATACTCAACGTCTCAGGCACTTCAAGCCAGATAAGTAATGCAGTTTTTAAATAAGCCACATAGGAATTCAATACACTGAGTGTAGATTTGTTGCAAAACATGGTTTTAATAGGCTTGAACTTAGGCCAACGGTGATGTTTCAAATTCTGCCACGTGGCCGACCAAGATCAAATTTCAGTGATTTAAAATGGATCAAATAATGAAGAAGTAAAACATGCTATTTTGGTATTCCATGTATTCTGGAAAGATACTGTAGCAATTAGATCAAAATCAAGATAAGCATTCATTTTAGAGAAGTCTATACAATACACTGAGAATTATGCACATCACCTGTGAGGCCTGACTGATGTTTGAGCTCTAATCAGATGTGCCACTGCCGTTAGGACAAATCCAAGCAAGTAAGCTATTAAACTGACTTCATTCACAAAACCTGAAAATGAACAACTTTGTCCTTTTCCAAATACAAAGGAAGGTGGTAACAAGTGTCTGATTGCCCATCACAAATCTAAAGGCAAAAACTGTTGTATATCCTTGGACTATGGACCAAGTGAACCAAGGATAAACCTTAGGCTGTGCCAACCAACACAGTCAATAGAACAGCACTGCAATGGAGTTTACATCTATGGATTGACAAGGGAAAATTGTCAGCCAAAGCTCCTGATCATCTAAGAACCCTTAATTATGCAAAAATTGTGCAGGTGAAATCAAGCTTGGCTTCAAAATTAAACAGTTTCACCACAATCTAAGTTCACATGAGTCACTTGACATTGATGCCCAGGGCACTGCTGGTAATCATAGCTTCTCAGCACGAAAGACCTTCTGAAGAGAAAGTTGCAATAAGTTGTGAACAGAAGAGGAAGAAAAATTTGAAATACAGGTGTGCTTTGCATAAATCAGTCAAAACACAGTTAACATGTTTTGTAGTACCAGCTACAATAGAACCTTCCTTGTCCCAATATCTATTTCAGAACATGCAAACCAAGATAGAATCTCCAGAACGTCAGTAACATTGTCAGTAGACTTCATCCCACCCCAGCATAGACTGGATTTGACTGCCAAAAACACTTCTGGGAAGAAAAGGAAAATCTTTTACAAAATACAAACGTTAGAACAATCCAGCCTATCTCCAAAACTGAAGCCACAAAAATTTAAAGGAAAAACAATTCTTCCAGTTAACACAAACCAATTAGGTGGCAATTTAAATATAAATGGGTCCAGAAATTTCAGCACTGCAGTTTTAAGTTTCACAAGATCTTTTCCAAGACCTAGATTCACCCCCTCTGTGTGGCATTAAGACACAATACAAAACTAGCCAAAGAAAGAAGAAGTTGAAAAAATGATCAAACTCAGGCCTAAAATTGGTACAACTTAAAATACAAGATAATAAATAACCATGACTAAAGGTTTTGTTTTCAGTGCACTTAGTTTCCATTGGAATCTTACCTTATTTTAATAAACAACTCCAATAAGTGATACGCAAGAGTTTGCAAACATTAGTAAATGCAACACTTGGTCTCACTTAGCAACCAGAGAAGTTGACAACTATGCTGTGACTTTGCTCAGTTAAAAAATCATTTCAAAATCATGAACACTATGAATGGGTTTTAATTTAAAAAGACGCACCAAAATACAGAATGCCACCATTTCAAAACAGGCTTTTAGCCTACACAATTTAACATGCTTCTAAAACAATTCAGAACAAAAAAAAATACATGGAGCATACTTTCTAGAGATTTAATGGCACGTCAGCGTACACAGTCAAAAGTACTGGGAAAAGATGCCTATGTGCACTATCACTGTTGTTTGACATAATTCAACATTCATAATGTGCCAGCGTGACTTGTTACAGTTTACAAAGTTTTATCAATACACAAATCTATATAGGCATAAAATGCAACTTTGCCACCAACTAAAAAAACGCAAGAATGAAGAGTTCAAGTCTAAATGAAAGACTAATCTGGAATGCACTACAGCACTATGAATTCTAAAATCTAGGCTTCTTTCCGCCTGCTTCATATTCTTCTCTCCCTCTACTAAAACTAGGCCCAGTAGGCCCCATAGGACGGGGGGGCTGAGCATTCATTGGACCTGGGGCTCCCTGTCCAAAGCGGTCATTACGCTATTGGGAGAGATTTTAAAAAGTTCATCATACATGGTAGCATTCAATGTCCATTAAGTTGCACGCGACAAAGTGAGTAAAATGTGTAACATTAGGTCAGGGAAGACATCCGCAGTCAATGTTCGTCGATTACAACCAGGAATGGGGCGATCCACAGGTACCAGGCACATAAAAAGAAAAAAAGAGGGCAAGTTGTTCATTAGTTTACTGACCGGTACATGGAGGAATCCAAGGTGGGTATAATCCTCCCATGACGACTTGTGATAACTTAAGAACAGTGGCTATTTGCTTGTAGTGCAAGCAAACCACTATTACCAACACAGGAATGCATTCAAATATGCACAAGTCTGATATGGGTCGATAGATATATTTGCATTATCATAACAATCTCCACATCATAGTTTTTCAGAGATGCAGAGCTTTAACACTTCAAGTTAAATAGCCTCTGCCCTTATGAAAGTCACAAGTAACCAACTTATCCCAACCCACCTTTTCCCCATTTTAAATGCAAGCTGACCAATGATCCAGTATTGTAGTACATGTTCTGCAAATTTTCAAGTAATGCAGTGGCTGCTGAGCATAAGGATTTGACAGTACAAAGCTAAACTTTAAACAACTTCCATTAGTTAAAGCATGATGGCCCAGAAGAATGCGTACATCTCCCTGTGTTAGGGAGTCAATCTTTAATGCATGTTGGTTTGGATTAATTAGGAAAAACTTGACTACAGGTGATTATTTTTATTCCAGCAGGCAAAAAAATTTATAGTTACAGTACAGCACAAGTACGACAACACTGGATCAGCATTACTATTAAAGTTTAACTGGGTAAAAATGTATACTCTACAAAACATTACTCATTAAGTGCAAAAAGGTAATAGGACATTCCCTCAATGTTCAGTTTAAAATGCCTAACGTAATTTTACCACTTGCACAATACACCTCAAAACTGAGGTTGAGCAACTGGGTTTGCCATGACCAATGGCACATTGATGTGCTAAGGGAGGGCACTCTTATAATCCCTCCCTCACTTCACTCAAAAGCAGTTTTCATTGTGGCAAGACAGCCAAACTAAGGCTGACAAACACTCAGAAGACCAGAGGATTTTAACAAGTTACAATGTGTTAATGTGGCAGCATTAGTACTAATCATCCCATTTGCAATCAGAACTTTAAAACCTAATCAATCATGGATTATCTAAAGCAATCAGTGCTCATCTCCCTCGTATGCCACCCAAAGTGTGCCACATAGTCACAAACTATCAAATCAAACTGACTGCATCACTTCACTGTACTAAACCAAACAGACGGTCAGAATCAGTTTTTTGATGCAGGGAAATGAGATTAGACAGCAAGGTGAACAGCTCAACCATTGCAGATGCAATAGGATAACTGGCTTTTTCTCGTGTTCCAATATGCAAAACTACGTGGCTGCCCACTTCAAATGAAAAATCATCTGCAATTCAGAAGAGTTACTGTCATTACAATACTGCCTCATTTATTTTGATAAAAGCACCACTTATTGTGCAAACACATTGTTCTAGGTTTAGTTTACACTAGCAGCTGCAAATGCCAGCCTTCAGACCGGAAACTGGAATTTTATTGCAATTTCCCGTAGAACAGGAATTGGTAACTTGTCAATGTGCTAAGGTAAAACAAACTTCTTTCATGCAAGCCTTTCTTCCTTAGTACTCAAGTTATCAGTTTCAATCTGGATCGAGATGCCAGTCAGACCAGTCATCAGTAACCCAATAACGGTTTGGGAAGTTTATATTAACCTAGAATAAATCACTTATGTATCTGATCTGCCTCAACATACCCATCTTAAGCACACAAACTATTGTCTGCACTAAGACTGTAAACAAAACACTGATTGGCAAACCAGGTTAGGCAAGTAGTTATTTCAAGTTTTAAAACATGCAATTTTGCAAATTGTTGCAGTGTATGCATGTTCTTGATCATTTCACTTGTAATAAGTATTGAAACTAATGTTGACACAGTTAGACTTCAGGAGTTGTAAATAACAATTAGACCACAGTGATCAGATGGCATGACATAAAGCATCTGATTAGTCTGTCTGCGTTGATGATCAGATTAACATATCACAACTAAGTGCACATTCCTGAAACTGAATCCTCCCACAAAATCCATGCTGAAACAGCATTGCTTATGGTAGCTTATTCAAGCTGCCTCTACAGTCTGTTATTTTGGTACTTTACTTCAATGAGTAATTAAGCATTTGCTAAAACAAGCATTCCCACCCCTCCAGTTCTGTGTATCCTTGTACATTTAGTTGTTCCAAGATCCCAACAAGCCTTTCCTTCATACCATACACACACATTCATTTCACTTTACAATCCAACCATACATCCAAGCATTCACTCCTAACCACAGTACACTTTACCCCTGCTATGTCGCTGGTGTTTCCACTGTTGCCCATCATCTGTCCAGTCATTGCACTTGGTCCTCCAGGGCTATTCATTGCACTGTGACCTTCATAGCCCATTGCTGCCATTGGTGGGAAGCTTTGGTTTGTAGCAGCATATTGTTCTGAAATGTAAAAGCATGCGTTCAAGTTTTTCCATGAGCAGTGATGGAACAGGCACTAGAAATGGTTACTCTGTTTACAATCAAAAGCCAGGTACTGGAATAGTGAAAAGGAATTATGGTACATTCAAATTACTGATGTATAATTCAGATTGCATCTTACCTGCCATTCCTCCAGCCATGCGCATGTCACGTTCTCTCTGAAGAGAGAAATTTCAGTAATGAATACCAAGGCAACCATTTAATTTTTCAGTTTGAATTATAATTCAGACAATGAAGAGCTGACCAAGACTTGTTCAATTGTAATTCTAGTCACCAAATACACAAGCCAAAGTAAATTTGAATGGTTTCTTAAACTGATCAAATTTGGAGCATAATACCATGTGAAGCTGTTCCGTTGCAATGCGCACACATTTCTTGCAAACTGTCAGGATTACAGAAGGACTTGCTTTGGAAATCAGTGAAATCAAGGATTGTTCAGTACTGAGTGGCCAACTAGGCTAACCATTCACATTTGATGTGTCAGAGATACAAAATGCAAGCAAAAAAAGTGAAATATAAAATATACCTAAATATGATACTGCCCAGGCAGTTGTTGAGGCTTCAATATATTCAAATTTTCTCAGCACCATTGAAAGGATCAGCAATTTCAGAAACATAACTGAAAATTAAATTTTCATTAAGGACATGATTTCCATCTCAAAGACAATTCAAATGGTGGCTGACCTAAAATCCATTCAAAATAGTATTCCACAGGGCTTGCAGCAAAAGATCTAAGCGTAATCTGCAACCTTAGCTTGAAGAAATTTCAGGATGAAGACTTTGGAGTTTGAGAGATCCAGTAACTTCTATTCCTGGTTGTTACTTTTATGGCCAAAACCAGGCACCTCTGAAAGAGCAGGGCACAACACAGCTCAATTATCAACAGCAAGACTGTAGAAAGGACCAAGGTAATTTACAGTCTCAAAGACAGAAACCAATGGCAATTTTGACCATAACACTGAATCTGTCAGTTCAATCTTTTGGTCAATCACTGGCACAAGGATCCAAATCCAAATCTGAGACTAAAGCAGTGCCTACTGGAGAGCAGGATTGATAGCACTGCAGTAGTATTCATTAGTGCCATCATGAGATTTTTTCAAATCTGGTGCTAAGAAACAACACCTGGTAAGTTCCCAAACCAGCCTACCCAAAACACTTAAAACCAAATTCTGCTGGATGGGACTCTTCAATCACTAGCACCCAGACTCAAAGCAACTCACAATGTTGTTATAGGAAACTTGCAGAAAGGACATTGAAATTCTTTGCGAACAAAGCATTCCCAAAAAGGCCAAAAGTAGCTGCTAACAAAACGGAGGAGACACTAACTGACCAAAAACTGAAAACCCATTCAAGAAAGGCACCACAGAATCAGGTCATGCAAAGACAAGGCCAAGATAGGGAAAGGAACACACTAACCTACAACTCACCCTCCAAGCATCATGGCCTGTATGCTTGCATTCTACTCTTATGTATGGAACTAGAAGAATTCTCCTGCTCATTATTTTGACTCTGTTTTAACAATCCAAGCACATCTGTACTTTATTGATCAAACTCACCGGATCCATGTACCCCATTCGGAAGTTCTCCTCCCTCTGGCGTCTCATCATCTCCTCTTTCTCCCGCTGTCGCATCAACATTTCCTCCTCTCTTCTACGGCGCTCTTCCTCTTGCCTGGTAAATTTAGTTCAATCCAGGTGTTAATTTAATTTCAGCTCAAATAATTCAAGCTACATTAAAAGACAAAATGATAATTTTTGCAATTTAACTCCACAGGAAATCTCAGGCATTCAAACAGCCTTCTTACCTCAATTCCAACTGTTTACGCTTCTGAACCTCTTGACTGTGAAGCTCTTCCATGCGGCGAAGCTCTTCTTGACGTCGCATGAGATCTGTGTAAAAATTTAGAAGCTTCCTGAACCATGCATCCAATAAGATAACATTTTCCATGCAGGTGCAGTACTGAATAATTCATGGTATACATGTCCTCATTGTTGACATTTTTAACGAATGTCTTGAGATTGTGTTTAAACACATTACAGGAATGAGTGGGACTTGGACCCAGAGCTATGTACACTACCACTGCATCTCAAGATCGCCTTGTAAAGTGGTGATCATAAGTTACTCACCAGCTGCTTTCTCCTTCCCCTGACCAGAAACAATATGCAGGATCAAAGGGGACAGGACTGCCAAGAATTGCAAACCAATGCCATACTCAATCTTTTGAGGTTCCTCAACAACATGTGCCAAGTCTCACCTGTAGCATTATTTAAGAACTATTAAGTTTAATTATTTATTTCAAGCTTACCCTGCCTCAGCAACATTGCTTGATGCTCATGGTATGCATCTTCCATTTCATTTTCCAGCTTATCTCTGGCCTCTCTCATATTCTTCTCCACTTGCTCTCTTTGTTGTTTTTCCATTTCATCAAGAGACTTCCATCGTTGGGAATACTCAAACTCAAATGTTCCGTGCTGGGCAAAACGAGGAGGTTGCTCCCGCTCCCTAAAAAGGGAGAAGGTTCATATTTGGCACACCTTTTACATAGATACAAATGATCTAGGACTTATTTTATTTGCAACAAATGAAGTTCATTGCAAAATGTAAATCGGAGATTCAGGCAAATAAGGTGGGTCACAGTGGTTAGCACTGCTGCCTCACAGCACCAGTGACTCAGGTTCAATTCCACCTTTGGGCAACCATGGAGTTTGCATGGTTTTCTCCATGTCTGCGTGGGTTTCCTCCGGATGCTCCAGTTTCCTCACAGTCCAAGGACGCACCAGTTAGGTGGTTTGGCCATGCTAAATCGCCCAGTGTCCAGGGATGTGTACGTTATGCAAAATGTGGAGTCATGGGGATGGGAGTAGGTCTGGATAGGATGCTCTTCAGAGGGTTGGTGTGGACTCAATGGGCCAAATGCCCTGCTTCCAGTGCGGAGATTGTATTCTACGATTCTAACTGGACAACGATCAACTCCTATTTCAAACCTGCTTTACATTTAAACAAAATGTTGAAAGTCAATAACAAAGATCAATCCCACATTCAAAATCAAAAATTACTCACTTCTGATACATTGGATTTCTCTGGGCAAGCTTCTCAGGCAGACCATCCTCATCGTCATATTGTTCCATTGGTTCCACGATCACAGGCCGTGGAGAGCTAAAAGTCAGGTTTTAACGAAAAATGGACAAAATTGCACTTAAAACAGTTAGAAACTCATCAGCAACTGGCAGAAAATCATGCATTTTAGTTTAAAAATCTAAGTAACTAAAAATTGCATAAGTCAACATTTCTCCTTCAGATCACACTGCTAATGTTTTGAAAATATGTAACTAATCTAGATATTTTACACCAATGGCTCTAAAATTCCACAACTTAAAAGGTTAGGGTTTGGAAATTTGCCTCAGGATAATAAATTTTTCCACAGAACAATGTGTCAGACATAAGCCAACAAAAAAGTCTACTACTTACGCAGTTAGGAGGAATACTCCTTCATTGCATCGCTCAAGGGCTTTTCTGGCAGCTGGCTTTGTTGCAAATTCAACTATGCCTTTGCCTGTTGATCTCCCACGGTCATCTACTATTACAATGGCCCTCTCCACCTGACCAAATTGGGAGAATGCTTCCTCAAGCAGTTCATTTGAGACATAAGGAGAAAGATTGCGAACAGTCAGAGCTGCAGAGTGTGTGGCAAAACGGATACGAAGAGGTCTGCCCCTCATGGGTGTATCATCAAGTTCAGCTTTGGCGATTTCAGCCAAAGTTCGACTTTCCTTTGATAGAAAGAAAATTGTTAGGGAAACTGAACATTCAGTCCCAAAGTTTCTCATGAACAGAACTTAATACATCCAGTACATTACATTTAAAGCTTTGCCACACAATGACATATCTTAATTTTTAGACAAGCTCTCAATTCTGAAACAGCAGGCAGAGCATCGAGAACCACAAAACATTGGTCATACAGCCACAGCTGAATGTTGTGCAAAGAGTAGGATTGGAAAATCCTAAATGAACCCAGGAGTTTAGGCAACAAAAACAAACTACTAAAAAAATCTCAGGAGGTCTGGCAGCATTTGTGGAGAGAAATCATAATTAAATGTTTCGGGTCCCATGTTCTGAAAACTCACCAGACCGAAACGTTAATGATCTCTCTCCACAAATACTGCCAAACCTACTTGTTTTTGTTTCAGACGGTCAGCATCCGCAATTCTTTACGATCTTTTTCATATGTTGGGGCAACGTGTTTCGGGCCAACAGCTGTCCGGATAAACTTGCAGTGTTCAGTCAAGGGGCGGGTGGGCAAGAGAATGATAAAAGGTGATGGAACGACAGAACAGACCTTCAAAAGGGTCAGTGAAAGAGAGAACGGAGACGTGGGAATGAAGAAAAAGACCCGAGGCAGAGCAGTCGCGCTCGCTGACTGAAAATACAAAATGGAGAGAGAGAGAGAGAGAAAAACCGACAATGGACGCGAAGGAAGACAGGAAACAAAATGGCAGACGGAGACTGAAGGCTCGTTCCTGTCTCTAGAGCGCGCGTCCGCGCCCCGGGCGGGCGGCTGGGCCCCGCGCGCGCTCGCGATGGGTGACGCGCACAGCACCAGCAAGATTATGAGCGCGGGGGGGGGGGGGGGGGAAGGGGAGAGTTTACCCGCCGCAGCCGCCATTAGGAATAGCCGCCCCCCTCACCCACCAAGCGGATGAAGCCGAACCCTTTGCCTTTGTTGATGAAAACCTCGCCGGGTTCGCCATATTTCTCGAAAAGCCGCTTGAAGTCGTCCTCGGTGATGTCGGCCGGCAAGTTGCCGACGAACAGGCGGCAGCGCTGCGTGTAGGTCTTCTCGCCGGGCTTGCGGAGCAGCGACAGCTGTGCCCGCAGCACCGCCTGCTCGCTCTCCGCCTCTTTGCCTTCGCGTTGCTGCCGGCTGTCCGTGCCGCCTGCCCCCGCCGATCCGCCGCCCTGCGACGCCTGCTGTTGCTGCTGCTGCTTGCCCCCCTCGCCGCTGCCGCCGCGGCCCGCCGAGCCACCCTGAGAGGCCGCCGCCTCACCGTTCTTCTTGTCGGGCTCGCCAGATTTCTGGGAGCCCGGCGCCAGTGATTTCTGAGGCGGCGTCTGCTGCGAGGCCGGCACCTGGTTGGAGGCTGAGGCCGCCGGTTGCTGCTTGAGGGCGTCGGCCGGGTTTCCCGCTCCGTTTGGACGGTTGGGAGCGTTATTGCGGTTGCTACCGCCACCCCCTCCCCGGAACGGAGGGCTCATGCCACCCCGCCTCTGAAATCCTGTGCGGTTCCTGAAGCGATCCCGAGACATTTTATTCCTTGGGAATAGTATTTACTGGCGGGTCAGTTTTTTTTCCACCCTTTTCGATCTTTCTTTTATCCCGAATAAACCGACTGCAAAGGTCAACGTGGAGAACAGCACAAAATGGCGCCGGGTGGCGGCTAGGGCGGGCGTTGCCTGTTTATATATCGCCCGCTAGCCCCGCCTCTACGCAAACCAGATTGGCTGGCACTGGGGATCACATGACCGCTCCGGAACACCGATTGGCTCTAGGAGGTATCAATCACCTAAACTGCGCCGCTAATGGACGGGAGGTAACCAATCAGGTCACGTCCTTCTCCAGACAAAGGATTGCCTCTTCTGGAGGAGGGGAAGTCCTGATAAGAGACTTGTCTCTTTGAGAAATGGGTGATCCTGGCCTTTTCTACTTGAAATACAAGATTATTCGTTTCCCCTCACTGTTGCTTTATTCTGTCTCATTGTAGCATCCAGTTCGGTTTTGAAGGCCTTTTCATTTTCCTTCCTCTGTCCTTTCTGGCATTATTGTTTAAATAAATAAAAACTGAAAGAACTACGGGTGTTGTACATCCAGAAACAACAAAAAACAGAAATTACTGGAAAAACCTCAGCAGGTCTGGCAGCATCTGCGAAAAGAAATCAAAGTTAACGTTTCAGGTCTGGTGGCCTTTCCACAGAAGAATTGTTTAAGTAAATCTTGACTTATAGTTCTACCAATTCCAAAAAAATAAGCTATGTTTTAACATACATATAATGCACCTACATACAGCAGCCTATGAGGAGAAAGCAGCTCTTGAATTAAGTGGGAACGCCACCAATGCAACTTCCCTCTGGATGCCACACATCCATTCCTACTTGAAAATATATTGCTTCACTGTCACTGGGTCAAAAGCCTGGAGCTCTTCCTCTTGTAGGTGGACTAATGTTGTACAAGAAGGCAGCTCAACACCACCAACCTTCTGCAAGGCAATGAGGATGAACAATAAATGCTGGCCTAGCCAGCAAAGTCCACATCCCTTCAGTGAATAAAAATAATTCCATACACAGTCTTTTACTGCATCTACATTATAAAGGTAAAGTTACCAGAATCCCTTTGGACTATAGAGCTGCTCTTTCATTAGAGAGAGACACAGCTGGTGGTGGTTTAACCTGAGGGTCACCACACCTCAGGCAAGGGGAGAAGTTGAGAAGGAGAGTCTTTCAAGGTAACCATATGCACTTTGAAGTAATTTAAATTTATACTATCTGACATTATTCTTCCGGTTTACACTGCAACAATCTGGAATTACCGATAAATATTCATTTCAAAATATTTTCGATGTTTCATTGACTTCCCCTCACATCGGTCTTCTAATTAGAACAGCTTAAGTTTACATAATCTAACCTCGTAGTTGGTCTACTGTATCTGTGGGACTAGTATTTTTCCACATTTGTAATGCATTTTTGTTATGTTGCAGGTGCCAAAGCTGAATATATTATTCTAGGTGTAATCATACAACTTCAGACTTAAAACATGAGAGTAAGTTCTGAAGTCTGACTCTGTATCACAGCATTCATAGAACATCACAACACTGAAATAGGCTATTCAGCCCATTGTGCCTTTGCAGGCTCTCTGAAATTAAGATTTAATTCTTCCAATTTCCTTAACTTTCCCAATGCCCTTGCATTATCCTGTTTTCTTTGAAACTTTCTATTAAATCTGCTTCCACTACCCTTTCAAGGCAATGTGTTCCATGTTGTGATAACCTGAGATGTTAAAAAAACTTTACAACTGTGCTGTAGCCGAGCCAAGCAGTTCCAGTATAGTTACAACATTGGTTTCTACCCAACAATGTGGAAAATTGCCCATGTATGTTCTGTACACAAAAATCAGGACAAATCCAACCAGACCAATTGCCGTCTACTTTCAATCATCAGTAAAGTGATGGAAGGTGTCATCAACAGTGCTATCAAGCAGCATCTGCTCAGAGATGCCCAGTTTGGGTTCCGCCAGGGCCACTCAGCTCCTGACCTCATTACAGCCTTGGTTCAAACATTGTCAAAAAAGCTAAATTCCAGAGGTGAGGTGAGAGTGACAGCCCTTGACATCAAGGCTGCATTCAACCGAGTGTGGCATCAATGAGCCCTAGCAAAACTGGAATCAATGGGTATCGGGGACAAACTCTCCGGTTGTTGGTGTCATACCTGACACATTGGAAGATGGTCGTGGTTGTTGGCAGTCAATTATCTCAGCTCCAGTGCATCACTACAGGAGTCCCTTAGGGTAGTGTCCTAGGCCCAATCATTTTCAGCTTCTTCATCAATGACCTTCCCTCCATCATAAGGTCAGAAGTGGGGATGTTCGCCAATGATTGCACAATGTTCAGCATCATTTGTGACTCCTCAGATACTGAAGCAGTCCATGTTCACATGCAACAAGATCTGGACAATATCTAGGCTTGCGCTGACAAGTGGCAAGTGACATTATAACTCTATGATCTATGACATTCATGCCACACAAATGCCAGGCTATGACCATCACCAATAAGAGACAATCTTACCACCGTCTCTTGACATTCAATGGTGTTACCATCACTGAATCCCCCTCTATCAACATCCTGGGAGTTACCATTGACTAGAAACTCAACTGGACACACCGCATTAACACAGTGACTACAAGTGCAGGCTAGAAGCTAGGAATACTGCGGCGAGTAACTCACCTCCTGACTCCACAAAGCCTGTCCACCATCTACAAGGCACAAGTCTGGAGTGTGATGGAAAACTCCCCACTTGCCTGGATGAGTGCAGCCTCAACAATTCTCAAGAAGCTTGACACCATCCAGGACAAAGCAGCCGGCTTGATTGGCACTACATCCACAGGTATCCATTCCCCCACACCGACAATCAGTAGCAGCAGTGTATATTATCTACAAGGTGCACTGCAGAAATTCACCAAAGATCCTCAGTCAGCACCTTCTAAATCCACAACCACTTCCATCTAGAAGGACAAGGGCATCAGACATATGGGAACATTACCACCTCCAAGTTCCCCTCCAAGTCACTCACATTCCTGACATGGAAATATATCGCTGTTTCTTCACTGTCGCTGGGTCAAAATCCTGGAATTCCCTCCCTCATAGCATTGTGGGTCAACCCACAGCAGGAGGACGTCAATGGTTCAAGAAGGCAGCTCACCACCACCTTTTCAAGGTCAACCAGGGGTGGGCAAGAAATGCTAGCCAGCCAGTGACACCCACATCCACAAATGAATAGGAAAAAAAAGCTCTTTTGCTACAACTAAAAAATCTGCACTCGCAGGCTACTGATTCTTAGACTTTTGGTAACAGTTTCTCCTTACTTATGCTGTTAAAATGGATCTGAATTTTTTTCTCATTGGTTAAGTATTCTTTAACCTTCTCTGTTTCTCTGGTTCCTTTGTATAACTGATATCTGGATACATTTCAAGTAAATCAACGCTTACTCTTGCACACCTCTACATTCTACGTGAAATGTGATGCCCAAATTTGGAAACAATACTGCTCCTGACACCTAGCCAGTGATTTATAAATGTTATGCATATACCTCACTTTTGTACTGTCTATGTCTATAAGGCCAAGATACTTTTTAAAATAACATCATGAACTTGTCCTGTCACCTTTAAAGTTTTGTGTAAATCATTAATATTCTATCCTTTTTAAAATCTTTTCTCCATTCTTCCTTCAAAAGTTCTTCACTGATTCAAATGGCAATTGACTGTCTATGTTTGTTGACAATGCGTAGCTGTATGAGCTGTATAGAGGATCCAAAGAGGCAAGAAAATGATATTGACAGATTAAGTGAGTGGCGAAAAAAATGGTATTTGGAATATAAGGTGGGAGGTTATCCATTTTGGTTGGTAAATTACCGTAGCAGGGACCAGCCTCTACTCAGAGATAGCTCATTCGGCAAGTGAAGTCAGGAATGTTTTGGCTGAGCATATTGAAAAGAAAAACAATGCAGCTGTCAGCACTTGGCAATGCAGAAGAACATTTCACACCACACTTTAATCTATAATTGCTTAAATCTGAGCCACAGTATTTAAATCACGACTTTATGAAATTGAAGAAGATCTTGTTGTCAGAATGGATCACTCCTGGACTGACCCTTCAGGCAATTTATATCTTTTTGTGCATGACACATGCAGTAATTAGCATTAAGAGAATCCCAGAGAATGTTCCTTAAGTATAGAGCAGTTCCTTTATTTCTCAGTTGAGTAATGCACTTACTTGGACTCCTTCAAACGTACAATGTTCCAGTTTATTTTTGAATAAGTTTGGTGGTGGGAATTTATAGGAACAGACACAGCAACATGCTAGCTTTGTAAGGCAATTATAGTCATGTCTAATCTTTCCAAAAGATCTGTACCAGGTATTTCTCAGAACCTAAACTTGGGAATTACATCAGGGTTGGTTGGGTGGGGAAAGTAGGGCCTGTGGTGGAAATGATTGAGGTGAGGTTGTCAGCAGGTGAATGGTGTCATATGAATGCCTGATACAAAGAAATTCTGAGGGTTGCCTAATGCCCAGAGAATCACGTCTGCTTTTTTTTTTAAGTGGCTTACACTAATATGATAACAATAAGTATATGGGGAGGCGATGGCCCAGTGGTATTATCACTGGACTGTTAATCTGGAAACCCGGATAACGTTCGCGGGACCTGTTTTCAAATCCCGCTATGGTAGATGGTGGAATTTGAATTCAATAAATATCTGGAATTAAGAATCTAATGATGACAATGAATCCATTGCCAATTGTTGGAAAAACCCATCCGGTTCACTAATGTCCTTTTGGGAAGGAAACTGCCATCCTTACCTGGTCTGGCCTATGTGTGACTCCAGACCCACAGCAATGTGGTTGACTCTTAACTGCCTCCTGGGAAATTAGGGATGGGTAATAAATGCAGCCTAGCCAGTGACACCCTCATCCCATAAATCCCATAAATCCATCCAATAAAGAATTTAGTGATCTTGTTGACCCTCTTCTGGACTTGCTCTTGACAAAGCAGTAGATTTCCCTGCCAAATCTAACAATGGGCATCCAGTGCACAATAAGAGTGAATCAGAGTCTGAATTACGTTGTTGAATCCTGAGATATCCATTTTAATGTGATTGTTCGTAGTCAAGGTCAAGGACCTCCACAGAGCCCAAAAACCACAGTCGCTCAGTCGTTAGCACAGGCGCCTCACAGCACCACTGACCGGGGTTTGATTACAGCCTCAGGACACTGTCTGTAGGGAGTTTGCATGTTCTCCCCATGTCTGTGTGGGTTTCCACTGGGTACTCTGGTTTCCTCCCAAAGTGCAAAGATGTGTCATTTAGGTGGAACAACCATGCTAAATTGTTCAGGGATATGTAGGCTAGATGGATTAGCCATGGTAATTTTTTTCTTCTTCGTTCAGTAACAGGACGGGGGCATCATTGGCTAGGCAGCATTTATTGCCCAGAGGGGAATTGACAGTCAACCACATTGCTATGGGTCTGAAATCACATGTAGGCCAGACCAGGTAAGGATGGTAGTTTTCTTCCCTAAA